CCATTTGTGAGGGTGGATGTCTCATGACCTTATCACCTCCCAAAGGCCATAATACGATCACCTTGAAGGTTAGAATTCAACACACAGATTTTGAGACACAAGCATTCAGACCATTGCATTCATTAACCTTTCACTTAATGGCTTTACCATTCATTGATGATCCTTGCCTGAATCAATGATTTCATTAGCAGTTGCCAGCAGTGGTTTTCTGTCACTCATGCATATAGATTAGCTATACTTTTCAGGAAACAAGAGCTTTCCCTCACCACCGGGAGCAGCCCGTTACCTGAAAGTAGATTCCTATGGCAAAGCAGAATCATGCTAAATTTTTTCTCTTTGAATACCATTTCGAAGTACAGATTTGGTGTGATCGCCAACTCCAGGGGTGACAAAAGGATTGTGTGTTTTTCTTTGTTTACAAGTTTTCAGTTAATATACCTTCCTGAGGAACTGAGGCTTTTGTGATTATGTAGTGACTCTATCCTAAAGTCAGTTTTGTCTTTTCATCCCAAATCTCTATTTAAAAAAATTATATAGCTACTCCAGGTTAAATCTGGTTAAGTGCTTGCTTTTTATATCTTTTTTAGTTTTAATGGTTCTGTACTGTGGTGTTTTGTGTATGTCTCTTACAAATAACATATAGCTTGATTTCACATTTTTATCCAATTTGACTATCTTTGTATAATACTAATTGGTGAGTTTAACATTTATTGTGACTATTATACTCTTTTTTACCATCTTTTTATGTTCTATTTGTTCTATTTTTTATGCTTTTCCCTCCTCTTAGTTCTCCTCCTCCTCCTCCTCCTTCTTTTGAAATTACTTGATTTTGTTTGATTTTTTTTAATCTATTTGTTCTTTTTATTGTTTTGGAAGTGACACACTTTATTTCCATTCATTTGGTGGTTACCCTTTGACCATCTAGAATATAGTACAAACAGTTTGTGTATCATAACTTTAATCGATATTTAACCTTCCTCCTGAACAATTTAAGAACTTGAGAATGTTTTAACTCCAACTATCCCCTTCTATTTTACATTTATTGTTACTCCATATTTTAGTTAGGCTTTTAAAAATTAACCCATAAAATAGATTATTATTATGTTACATACACTAAGTTTTAGATTTATCTACATTTTTACCATTTGCCTCACTATTCTTTCTTATATCTTGGTTCTTCCTTTCATTTTCCAAATGAAACATTTAAAGAAATAAAAAAGGGCTGTGTGCTTTAGGTGTTTCTTTAGAGAAAGTTTGGTGGTGGTAAACTCTGTTTTTGTTTTTTTGAAAATCCCTTTATTCTTGAAAGATGGTTTCATTGGGTTCACAATTCTTGATTGTCCATTGTAATCTCTTGGCACTCTGAAGGTACACTCCCTTGTTCTAGCTCCTTTATTGCTGTGGGAAAATCCGTTGTCAGTCTGACTGTGGTAGCTTTGCAGTACTGTGGGTGATGTGGGCTTCCTCTCTGGATGCTTTAGAGAGTTTCTTTTTATTTTTAGTGTTCTGCAATTTCACTATAATATGCCTAGGTGTGGATTTATTCTAATTTTTCCACCTTGGTTGTATGAGTGTACACTATGCTGTATATACTGTATCTGGGATTCACACCTTTCATCAGTACTGGAACATTCTCAGCTATTCTCTCTTTGGATATTGTCTCTCTTTCATTGTCTCTATTGTCTCTGAAACACTGGATATGTTAGACCTTACCATTCTGGCCTCCACTGCTCATGGCCTTGTTTCATATTTTTTATCTCCTTATTTATGTCTGCCGTAAACTTAGTAACTTCTTCAATCTGTCTTCAGGTTCATTCATTCTCTCTTAATCTGTGTCTTAAATGCTATTTATCCCATCTATTCAGTTTTTCATTTAAAAAATTACAGTTTCTTTCCTTCCTTCCTTCCTTCCTTCCTTCCTTCCTTCCTTCCTTCCTTCTTGACAGGGTCTTGCTCTGTCACCCAGGCTGGAGTACAGTGGCACAATCATAGCTCACTGCAACCTCGAACTCCTAGGCTCAAGTGATCCTCCTGCTGCCTCAGCCTCCTGAATAGCTGGGACTACAGGTGAGCACCATCACATATGGCTAATTTTTAAATTTTTTGTAGAGATGGGGTCTTGCTATGTTGCCCAGGCTGGTCTTCAACTCCTGGACACAAGCAGTCCTTCCACCTGGGCCTCCCAAAGTGCTGTGGTTACAGGTGTGTGCCACTGTTCCCAGCCAGTTTTTATTTCTAAGAGCTCTATTTGACTCTTTTCTAAAAAGACCTGTCATTTCTGCTTGATTATCAAAATATCCATTTTTAAGAGAAAATAACAGGTGTTGGTGAGGAGGTAGAGAAATTGGAACCCCTGTGTCCTGCTGATGGGAATGTGAAATGGATGCAGCCTCTATGGAAAACAAATGGCAGTTCCTCAAAAACTTAAAACTAGAATTATCATATGATCCAGTGATTCCATTTCTGGGCATGTGCCCCAAAGAATTGAAAGCAGCGTCTCAAAGAGATACTTGCACACCTGTGTTCGTAGAAGCATTATTCATGATAGCCAAAAGATAGCAGCAACCCAAACGTCCTTCAACAGATGAATGAACAAAATGTGGTATAAACAACAGAATGTTATTCAGCCTTACAAAGGAAGGAAATTCTGACACATGCTACAACATGCATGAACCTTGAAGACACTATGCTAAGTGAAATAAGCCAGGCACAAAAAGACAAATACCGTACAATTCCACTTACATGAAGTATCTAGAGTAATCTAATTTACAGAGACAGAAAGTAGAATGGTGGTTGCCAGAGACTGGGGGAAGGGAGAAATAAGGAGTCATTGTTTAATGGGTACAGAGTTTCAGTTTTACAAGGTGTAAACAGTTCTGGAGATGGATGTTGTTGGTGGTTACACAACAGGGTAATGTACATAATACCACTGAATTGTACATTTAAAAGTGGTTAGGATTGTAAATTTTATGTTGTGTGTATTTTACCACAATTAAAAATAATTTTAAAATGTGGAAATAGTATCCATTTTTATTCCTTAAATGTTTCATAAATTATGATATTGGAGGCCCTATAGTGTGGTAGTTTATAATATGAACAACGTTTATGTTCAACTTACCAGTCTGTAACCTCAGGCAAGGTACTTAAGCTCATTTTACCTTAGTTTTCTTATCCATAAAATGAGGACAAGAATAATACTATCTCATAGGTTTCTGTGAGTGTTCAATGAATCAGCAACTGAAGCACAATAGTGTCTGGTACATAGAAATACTCTATCTGTAAGTATTAGTTATTATTGTAATTATCTGATCATTCTGACATCTGAAGTCATTGAGGTTCTAAATTAGCTGTTTTTGATGGTTCCACTTACGATGTTTTTCTTTTTTAAACATTCTCTGATCTTTGATTGTGAACTTATTTTTGGAGGGTCTTTGGGAATCTAGAGGCTCTAAATTTGGGGTATTTTCCTCCAGAGGACCTGCCTCCCAAGACCGCATTTGGCCCCTTCAGTTGTCTCTGCCTCATGTGGGGGTCCCAGGTTCAGCTCCCCTCCCTACCTGCAGTCGGCCCACGTTTAGTTCTGATCACAGCCTTCATGTGGGTCTTGACCCAAGATCTGAGGGTACTGCTCCCATCACCACCTTAGTTTCAGCTCACAGTTCTGATGGTTTTGCTTTATTTTATGTTATTTTTTCCTTATTATTTTTTGCCTTTGAGAATTTTTATTATTTCCTAAGTACCTAGTAAGGCATGAACAAGTATATTTTATCTAGGATCTGACTCAACTATAACGAGAGGGTCCTCAGAAAACCTGAGCCTCCCTCCTATAGCTATGAAAGAAGTCCAGGGGGCTTAATTCTCCAACCATTTGGAGTGCAGGGACACGCTTATGTCCTCAGAACCCAGCTTGGGAAAGGCCTCATGCCTGGCAGGTGACACATTTTTATTTGTTTGTTTAAGAGGTGGGAGTCTCGCCGTGGCCCAGGCTGGAGTGCAGTGGCATGATTATAGCTCACTGCAGCCTCAGCTCAAGAGATCCTCCCACTTTAGCTTCTTCGGTAGCTGGGACTACAGGTGCGCACCACCATGCCTAGCTAATTTTTAGAGATGAGGGGGTTGTCTTGCTATGCTGCCCAGGCTGGTCTTTAACTCTTGGCCTCAAGCGAACCTCCGAAAGTGCTGGGATTACAGGCTTGAGCCACTGCGACTGGCCCCTCGCCCCCTTTTTTTAAGGAATGAAAGAAACCACACTGAGGGCTCTCCAGGAAGAAGTTAGGACTTAGAGGTGCAGTACCTCTTTCCAGCCACTTGGGGAGCCCTGATTGAATGTCACCCTTGACTGACTCCATCATCTCCCTCTGGAATCACAGGTTATTCCTGGCTCATGGCTGGTATCACAGACAGGGAGGGATGAGGCCCCGTGCGGGAATGAGACCTGCTCACCCTGGCTTCCCTAGTCTGCAGCTCACTGTGGCCCCCACTCAGTAGATCTAGTTTCCATGTCTCCTCTTCCTCCTGCCTCTATTTTGAGAAACAATTGCCTCCCTTGGATTTTTTTCTCCCCAGACCAAAGAATAAAGGTTCAATGGTCCTAGCTCAGTTCTTATCAAGCAGCCCAGCCAGCCTATGCCAAAGATTTCACATACCTGTTTAATGATAGCAGCCATAGAGGTAACAATAATAACAGGAGGTAATAGTAGTGGCCTATGGTGGGACAGAGCGTTTTACATTACAACTGGTTTCTTGCTCCGGTGGGCTTGGAGACAGGTGGAGAAGGAGAGGGCTGGCTCAGATCCTTTCCTCCTCCACTCCAGCCCTTGGTGATCTGGGCTCTCACGAGAGAGCCTACTTCCACTCAGTAGAGTGGGAAAGTTCCTTCTTGGCTTAGTGATGCCTCCGAAATCTCAGCCCACAGGCTGGCTCATTCAGTGGTCTGTCTCTCTCCCTGGAATGCTGGGAGCACCAGGGGGTGGCTGGTCTGGGGTGGCCAACTTCGTTCTGGGTGCCTCTGGGCTGTGGGGACCTCTTAGAGGAAGGGCAGCCCTTTACTGCTCCAAGAAATGCTGAAGTGTGGGTGGAGAGGTGTGCCCAAGGGGGCTGTTGCTCTGTGTCTGACTTCAGGGGATCCCTAGGCGGGCAGGGCGCAGGGGAAGCAGCTCCCAGCACTGCAGAGGGGCAGCAGCGTTACAGCTCAGCCTAGAATAAAAGAGACCCAGGAAGAGCGAGGCAGATGATTTGAAACCGGCAAAGTGGTGACATGTGCAAAATTAGTCTTCCTTTCCTGAAGCTCTTTGCTTCTCCCCCTACGCTCTAGGGGCCAGGAAGTCTCATAAGCCTCTCTACCCTTTTTCTTATCTGAATCTTCTCTCTGGAAAGGATCTCATAGTCTCATTCCATCAGAAAGTAAAGCTTGGTGTGTTCCATACCCTAAGGTATTTGCATCTAACCGGAATCTCTGACCTGAGAAATTTCAGCCTTAATGGTGGAATCTCAGGCTGTTGCTTGCTGGGAGGGAAAATTATCTGGGATGTAAAGGGTTGTCAGAGCCATTTAGATCAAACCTATGGATGATTTGGTACCCCCAGAGTATAGGAAGGGAGGGAAGGCACAATGGATAGGGCCGACGTGTGCTTACCTTCCGGATACTGTAGATCCAGTTGAGATAGGCTGTGACCTTGGTGTACACTCCTGGGGTGCTTGGGCTCCCGCAGCCGTAGCCCCAGCTAACAATGCCCACCACCTGCCACTGGTCAGATTGGTACATCAGGGGCCCACCACTGTCACCCTGTGAGAGGCCAGAACAGGGGCTGCTGGCGGGCAGGCCAGGGGCTGGGCTTCTCCTTCCTCCCCTCTCTGAACTGGCCCTCCTGTGTCCCAGTGCTCCCCTGTGCTCCCTGCTGCTCTTGCACCCTGGAATGTTCTTCCTTCTGGGGCAAAATGGTCTGTTTGGGGTCGAGGAAGTTGTGGGTGTGCTGTTAGCTCTCTCCCAGAGACTCATAACTCACACTAGCAGATTGAAGGCTCTGAGGGGCGCAGTGAGGAAGCCTAGTTGTCTTTGTTTAACCTAGTAGTGCCCAAATTTATTTAATCACATATGGAATGCCTATTTTGTGCCAGGTACTATCCTAAGCAATTGGGATTCAACTAATGGAAACAGAAATAAAAACAAAAAAACCCCAAAGATCCCTACAATCAGGAAGCTTAGAATCAAATGGGGTGAGAGAGAGACAGTAAACAAGTAAGTAACAAAACAACAAGAAAAAGATAGTGAAAAGTACACTTATTTGGGGTCCTTACTGGCTCTTATAGGTCCGGGGCTTCCTCCCTCTGAACCCAATAACACGATAGCCTACCTGCCCACTTATGTATCCCACCACCTCCACCGTGAGCTCCCTGAGGGCTGACACCGTCCCCAAAGCCTGCCACGTTCGGGGCACACAAGAGAGGACTAAGACATGTCTCTTGCATGAAAATGGGGGTGAGAGCAGGGTTGGGGGTTCTAATGAAAATGGCTCAGGAGATCCTCTGGCTGTGCGGGGGAGTGAGCGTGCCCAGGGATTGCTAAGCTGTTGTGAAGGCCAGTGAGGGTGGGGTGAGGGGACACGCACCAGGGTCTATCCAGCATGAGGGAGTTTTTTTCTAGTGCAGTGCACACGCTTGGGGATAGTCACAGAGGAAACAGACCTGGGGTTCCAGCCCTTGAAGGGCTTATAATCCTGCAGAGCATGAGAGGTAAAGGTGGGTGAGGAGGGCGAGTAAGGTCACGTTTGTATGTGAAGGAGACCTTTGAAATCCTTCTGCTTGTCTGCATCCATCCATCCATTTTTGTTTTTTAAGAAATGGGGCTGTCACCCAGGCTGGAGTGCAGTGGCGGGATCATAGCTCACTGTAACCTCAAACTCCTGGCCTCAAGCAATCCTCCCGCCTCAGTCTCCTGGAGAGCTGACACTGCAGGTGTGCGCCACCACACCCAGCCCCCATCCATTCTTATATCTTTATCTGACTATGTTCTTTCTTTCCCTCCCTCTCTCTCTTCCTCCCATCATCACACATTATGTGCCCGCCATATGCAAGGCTTCACATGGGGCATTCAGCCTCTGGGTCTTCTCATCTCTCTAGGACCTACATCCCTATTCATAGAATTCCTCATGATCCTCGGATGTCCCACCTGGCAGGTGTCCACGCCCCCTTCCGGGATGCCCGCACACAGCATCTTCTCAGTGACTTCCCCCTGGTAGGCATCCTCTGCGTTGCACCGTGTGCTGTCAATGACCTGGACTGATGCCTGCATCAGTACGTCAGACATCTTCCCTGGGAGGTTGAAAACATACTTATATTCCCATTCTTGCCTTGTACTCCCCAGCTTAGGTTAATTCACTGCATCATCAAACCACTTTGCTTTTTGCCTGGCACCTTGGTGCTTGGTCCTCCAGGATGGGTTTTTCTGAAGGATGGTCCTCCTTCCCATCATCTCTGGGAGCTGCTCCCTCAAACAAGGACATCTCCTGCCCTGTGGTCCTGAGCCCAGAACTTACCTCCATGCCCTTCCGTAACGCCCCATCCGATGACCCAGAGTGGGGTGGCTGGAGCGAGCTCCTCATCAAAGAAGGGCAGGCAGATGGGCCTGACTGTGGCTGTCAGGAGCAGAGAGGAAGAGGGAGACCCTGTATTAATCATGTTTTTTATTTTCTGTATTTTATGATGCTTTGTGATTGTGGGGATCTTGCCAGTCTGGGAGAGACTGGGTTAGCTAATTTCTGCAGGGCATAAACAACTTGCATGTGGGCATGCCTTTAATATGCAAACCAACCAATCCAAAGCTCACACCGTCGACCACCTTCTTTATCTAACTCTCACACACCAAGCCGATATTTTCCCTGCTCTAAATCACTCCAGGACCAGGTACCAGACAACTAGAGACCAACCTCCATTACCCAGAGAATTGCTCACACTATCTAATCCCGCGCTTGCTCAAACTTGCCTGCCTTACCTTGTCCAGACCTTCCCATGGAAACCACAGAAGTGTCTCTGAGCCACACTTTCCCCTCATGCCTTCTGCCTCCTGACTGCCCCGGGTGATTCCCCATGTGGCCCTGTGTGGCCTGGTGAGGTATGTCCCTTTCCCTCAGGAACTGTAAATAATAAACTCTTCTCTCAAGGATAGTTCTGTCGCCTTACCATACCTGATTAAAACAAATCCCAGGCACAAATCTCGAAACAGACTTGGGGATCAGGAGAGCCCGACAGCTAAGCCCCCTGAAAAGGTTCACACCAGGGTATCTATAACACTTGTTCTGTAGGATGCTGGGAGAAGTGGCATAAAAAAAGGATCCTGTGGCTAAATAATTTAGAAAATGTGGGTTAAACACAATAAAACAGATTCTTTTTAAAAACTTCTTATACCTTTAATAAACAAATGTGCTCCAAGAAGGGAGCTCTAGTATGAAAATGTTCCCCAAACTTATTTGACAATGGAACGTTCCTCTTCCTAAGGGACCAGTGTCCTGTGGAAACCATAGTGGGAAATGCTGATTGAAACGCTATTCTATACCTGTAATCCTAGCACTTTGGGAGGCCGAGGCGGGCAGATCCCTCAAGGTCAGGAGTTCAAGACTAGCCTGAGCAAGAGCGAGACCCCATTACTACTAAAAATAGAAAGAAATTAGCTGGGCAACTAAAAATATATAGAAAAAATTAGCCGGGCATGGTGGCGCATGCCTGTAGTCCCAGCTGCTCGGCAGGGACTGAGGCTGAGGCAGGAGGATCACTTGAGCCCAGGAGTTTGAGGTTGCCGTGAGCTAGGCTGACGCCACGGCACTCTAGCCCAGGCAACAGAGTGAGACTCTGTCTCAAAAAAAAAAAAAAATACTATTCAATGTACTCACGGGGCATCTAACAGAGCTGTTCAGAGATTCTGTGGGCTGCTTTACAAGTAAGGAGTTCTCTGCCCCTGGAGGAGAGCAACCAGGCGCACAATGACCCCTTGGCAGGGATAATGTGCAGGCTCCTGGGCATCGGTCAGGGGTGAGAAATGAACTGGAGGATCTTTTAAAAAGGTCCCATGCAACTCCAAGTTTGGATAAATCTATGATTCTCACTTGAGGGGCTCCAAATAGAGAAAACAGACCTTGGAAGGATCTCCAAAAGGGGATGGTTTGGGGTGTTAGCTGACAGCTCGACGGGGCCTCATGGCATCGGTGATGTTAGGCTGACATAATAGTTGGAAACAAAGGGGCAGGCTGAGGTCTTAATGGGAGAAATGATGTGCCAAGGCCACTCGGTGAGCTAATGGCCCAATGGGAGTGAAACCTGACATAAGGGGCTCAGGTGACCCTCAGGCTGTCATCCCAGGTACCACCTCTCACCTGAGAACCTGAGTGGGTGCTGCAGCTTTACAAGGGCAATGTCCTTCTCTTTGGGGTACATGGGGTTGGACTCAATGACGATGATCTTGGCCACAGATAGGGAGTGGGAGTTGCCCAGTCTGTCTGAGCCAGCCCTCACCTTCCAGTTGGGCACATCGAGAAACATCCTGTGGGCAGAGACGGCTGGGTTCAGGCCTGAGCCAAGCATGAAGAGGCTTCGCCAAAGGCGGGGTCCCCAGGGTCCTGGGATTGGGGTGCTGGGTGTCACTGCCCTAGGAGCTATATGGTGGAGAAGGGGAAGTCTGAGGACTCACCTACCAGAAGCCAAATTCTCAAGGGAAATTTGATTCTTTCTCCTCAGTGAAACCTGCCCAAGGAAACTTTAAGGAGGGCTGGGAAGGGGGTCTTTCCAATGCCTGGGCTCTGGGTTCCCAGCACTCTCTCCTCCAACTCTTTGCGTTGCCTGTGTTACTCACTTGGTACTTATGTTGTGGTCAGTTACGTTTTGTGCTTGTGTTTCGTTCTCTCAGTACCAGATACAGCTTAGTGTGCAGGGGTGTTTTTCCAGGAAGGGATTTATAGCTCTTGCCGGATTCTCAAAACAAGGTTAAGAACCACTGGCCTAGACCGTGAACTCTTTGAAGGCAGTGATGGGTTCTAATGCACTTGGGCACGTATCTGGTGCTTGATACCTGGTAGGTACTCATTAGATAGTGAATGAATGAATGAATAAAACTGAAGAGTGCCTGGGAGTGGCCCTTCCTAGGGGTTTGGCCAGGCCTTTCTCCGCTGTACTGATAAGGAATCTATACTTTTTAATTTTTTTAAGTTTCTGGATATAATGCATGAGTGGCCGTGCCTCTAGACCCTGGAACCACTTCCTAAAAGACTGGCAAAAAGAGAGTGAGTTCTCAGGACTCCAGGCAGAGGCGGAAGAGCTTTTGTGGAGTGAACGATGTGGGGGTGGGGTGAGGACACCTGATATCTGATGGGCTCCCACTGGGAAGAAGTCATGCTTGGCTTGATGTCCAGCACCCTCTGCTCAGACCCCCAGTGCCTAACAAAGGGCATGACGTCTCACTGGGGTGGCCACACTCAGGCAGTGGTCTCTAGGGGAGAGTGAGGAGGGGGTAGGCATCAGGAGATAGGGCCCCAAGCTCTGCCCCTTCCCGGGCCCCCTCCCGCCCCCACGGGCCTCCTCACAGCCAGGGGCCTTACCTGAAGCAGTGGGCTGCCGTGAGGATCCAGTGGGCGTCCAGGATGCTCCCCCCGCAGATGTGGTGTTTGTTGTACTGGATGCTGACCTGCCAGGGCCAAGAATCCACAGAGGCCTCCGCCCCGCCCACCACCCGGTTCTTCATGTTCTTCCCACAGGCTGGACTCAGTGGAAGGAGGGAGAAAGCAGCAAGTCAGGCTCTGGGGGGATGGGTCTGCTTCCCCTTGGGGTCCAACATCCCCCCTGAGCACAGTCCCTATGACTGGGGTGGGAGGGTGAAGGAAGACCAGGCCATTTTTGAATTATTCATGGGGAGATATTGAGTGTCCTAGACCACTGGCTTTCCCCAAATTTCTGTCTCCTTTTTTTGTCTTTGGATAGGTTTAGGAGTTTAGACTGTGAACATGGGTGTGTCTATTGTGTTGGGAATTCATGACCTGCTAACCAAACAGTGACACAAAATTACGAAAGCCCTGCCCAGGTGGAGGGTCCCCAGCCACTCCCGCTGAGTAACAATAAAGAGACATCCACGAGCTCCTTGTAGCTCCCTAAAAAGTCGTTCTGTTTTTGATCAAGGAAGCTCCCCCTTTCTGAACTGCTGTCTCTTTTCCTGTTTATCTAAATCGTTAATTAACTCTACAAATTTGCGTCGAGTGCCTACCATGTCTAAGGGCAGTAGTGGGTGCAGGGAGAGAGTGGTGGGCAAGACAGAAAGACAGACGTGGTCCCTCCCTGCTGGCGCCTACAGACTCAGTTTTCAGTGTTTAGTCTGGGCACCGCCTCCAGACCACCAAATCCCTGGGGCTTTTCCTCTCTTGGAATTTCCATAGCCTGCCAGGGTGTTGGCCAGTTTTTCAATGGGGTTAGGCTTAGGCCTTGTCTTCTCGGTGAGACAGAGACTCCTTAAGGAAAGACCTGCCCCTCGAGCTTCATTGTGCCTTCAGGGCTACTCCGTGCAGCACCTCAGACGATGTGGCTGTTTGTTTTTCATTTATTCATTCATTGACCAGCCATCATGTGTCAGATCCCACAAGCTAGTTGTTGTGCGGAGGGGGTCACATGATAATGAATAGATGTCTTAACATCCAACAGGGAAGCATATACACTGCCACACTGCACAGGCAGTGATGTGACCTTCTTCCTCTTCTCTTGGGCTTTGCAATTTCTGGCCACCCTTCCATGCCCGGCTTAGTGCTTCTCCATGAAGCTGGGAGGATGAGCCCGGCCACAGTGCTAGTTTTCCCTTCTTACCTGCTCTGTTAGAGCTAGAAGGGTCCCCCGAGATCCTCACTGGGCAGATGGACTAAAGGGCTTCCTAGGAAAATGGACCTCAGAGAGGTCAGGTGAATTATTCAAGGTCACACTAGAAGTGAATGGGATGGATGGCAAGGTCTTCTGACCCCTGTCCAGCTCTCTCTGCAGCATGTCGACTGTGATGGCCACTCGGTCTGGCACTTCCCACATGTGGTCTTGCATCTCTCTCTTACTCAGTGGAGGACAGTGGCCAACTCTTTTATGTGTTTCTGCTCCCAACCAGCATCTGACAGAGTTAGACACATTCTAGCTGTTCGATGAATGTTTGCTCAAGTGAATGTGGATAATCCGATCTTGGATATCGGAGCTGAATTGTGACAAAGGAGGTTACATGTGCCCTGACCAGGGGTAGGAAGGGGTGGAAGCCCAGTCCTGCCCTTTCCCAATTTCCCACTCTCTCTCAGGTCCCCGCGTAGGTAGTGGGGCCGTGTGCAGATGGAAGAAGGGAGCTCTTAACATCAACCATGAGAAGGAGCATTGAACCGCAAGCCCAAGGACTGAAGTAGTAAGGTTGGACCAAAACAGAGTGAAACTTGGAGTCTGAGATTTGGGGAAAAGAACGAAGGTCTTCCTCCCTGCACATTGCTGGCCCAGGCCCTGAACCATCAGAGCTGGGGCACACTCACCCAGGCAGTGCAGGGAAACCAAGGAGCCTGAGACACAGGATCTGGAAGAGACAAAAAGGGACTTGTGGTTTCAGCTCCTATCTTGGCTGGGAGGCCAGTGAGTGACTCAGGCCTTCTAGAGCTGGTAATTCAAGTCCCCTTCCAATACCTGGGAAATCTGAACCTGCATAATGGGGACTGTCTAGAAACAGCACATATACTTCAATTAGATTTGATTCAACATGCTCACTGTTGAGCACCTACTACGTTCTGGGCCTTGCCTGCCCTCCAGGCCTAACCCGGGCTTCTGGCAGCCTGGAAGGGAAGAGAGAAGAGCCTGGAACAGAGTCTGCTGTACTGATGACTTTCCGAATGCAAGAAGAATGGATTTCTATGGAATTCCAGGCTAACGATCATTCTGCTACCAGCCTTGTCCTTTTCAAGATTTATTCAAGCAGCCCTCAGCAACACCCCTGAATGCTAAGAAGCCAGCATCTTCTCTGAGCCACTTTACTGCAGTGTGACAGATTTCATCGAGATGCTGTGCTCTAGCAGGGTGGTGAGGCAGATGAGTAGGCCATCAGTGGGCCATGGAGTCCCTTCCCTGGAGTGCCGGGCAGGTAGAGAGGTCTTACTCTGGCTTGGGTAAGTGGTGGGGAAGGACAAGTGACCTTTGGAATCTTGCTTATTGGGAAATTTATTAGGAAACCTAAGGCACTAGCAAAAAACATTTGGTTTTACTATTCAGACTGATGGAAAGGTCACTTTATCCATCCCTCTGCCTTTGGGTAGGACAGCACACTTTGTCCAGCTGTCCCTTGTATTTAAAAGATCAACACGGAAAACCTCTCAGAAATGCGATTCTATAGCTCTTGGCATTTAACGATCTACCTGGCTAGGAGTTCTTCTAGTTGTCTGACTTACATTCCCACTGCTGCTAGTCTGTTCAGGGTGAGCTGGCTGAAGCCCTAAGAGCAGACTCCATGTGCTAGCCTTCTGCAGGCCAGACGATGTCCTCTTACTTACCTACTTGAGTTCTGCACCTGAAGCTCCTTGCTGTTTTCTATGACGTCAACAACATCCAGCTCCTGGTCTGTGCCAATCGCCACGGCACTGAAAGCAGGTTTGCTGCTCACATCAGGAGGGAGAGAGAGTTGTAAGCTGGGGCAGGAGGTTAGAGCAAGATGGTAGGAGTAGTCCCTACTCCCGGGAGAGAGGATGGTAGAGAGCGGCAGGGCAGTAGAGGTGGTCTTGGTCAGAAAGGGCGGGGCCCGCTTTGCTATACAATAAGGAACATTCCCTTGGCACAGTGCTGACCTGGCCTTGCTTTCTCGGGCAGGGACTCCTCGTCCAGAACCCAGAGCTCTGGAGAAATGTTAGGGATCCCCCTTTCAAACTCCCAGCTCTATCCCTATTTCGAATGTCCCAGCAGTCTCTTCTGGTTCATAGCAGGGAGAACAAAGAGGCACAGGGACCTAGGGTAGCTCCCTTTTCACCTTGGAGGAGATTGGAATGTGGATATTTAGTTCTCCAAACAAGACATCTGGTCCGACTTTGATAGTGGGGTTACACTTATGGCCTCCTTGCAGATAGGACAAGACTGGATCGGTCCTCATATGAATCCAGACAAACATTTCTCTCGCTTGGAAAACCCTCCCTCTTTTTCTCTGCTAACCTATGCTTGCCTTCTTTCAAACTTTGGGTTTAAGTTTTCCCTCCTCCAGGAAGCCTTCCCTGATTAATCCCATCTCTCTGATTATTCCTTTGCTAAATCTGCCTCTTCCAAACCTTTTCCTTCTTCCCCAACCATGCTAGCACGTGCTAGTGCAAGCTCTGCATGGAGGGTTGGGTCAATCCATGGCATTCGCTGAATGGCACATTCTCAGGCAGGAATGCTGGCACTACCTGGGTGGACCCAGGTCCTGGACCTGGGAGGATCAGAGTCTGCTTTAAGAGCCCTCAAGACCTAGATTCTTGTCCTAGCTCTGACATTAGTTTGGTGTGTGACATTGGACAGGTCACATTCCTTCTCTGGCTCTCTTCAAGCCTCAGTTTCCTCCTCTGTAAAGTGATGGGTGGACCAGATGATCCCTAGGGTCCACCCCACTTTGGTTTTGTGGTCCTAGAACAAGAAGGGCATCCAATCCAGGGGGAGGAAAGAAAGTATAGAAATTTGAGGCCCAGAATAGGGATATGGTGAAAACAGGCATTCCCAGGAAATTTAACCCCTATTCACCAATTACATTCTGATGAAGGATTCTGATGAACTTTGATTTTGTAGAGCGCTGGAGCCAGGTGGTTTGGTGCCTTAGTGAGCTCGGCATGGACAGAAATTCCAGGAGCCTACCACCTTAAGAACTCCTGGAGACATCCAGGTTTCATAATCAAGCCTCAGCCTGCAGCACTAGGTACAGCTGACGCAGCAGTTGACTGGACTACAGTGGGGAGGAGGGGCTGGCTGCAGTGGGGCTGGGCTGGGGTGGCCGCAGGAGAGGAAAAGAGCAGGTGCGGGGCATGCCTTCCCCTGCTTTTTTTAAAATGAAGGTGGCAGGGTGTCCTTCCTAGAGGGTACTAGGAGTTGCACCCCGTGGAGGGTCGAGAGCAGCAGAAGCCTGATAACCAGAGCAGAGAGGGCAAATAGGTCTGATGGATTTGTAATGGCTGCCTGGAGCATTTATTGAAAAAGAACCTTGAGGTTGCATTAGGGATCACTGGGAGAGAGGTCTGTGATTGATTGGTGATGCCTGCCTAGTAGTTATTGTTTCTGCCTCATCTTTGAGTCCAGTTTCTTAGAATCCTGAAGAAGTTTGGGGCCTGCCAGGGGTAGGTCATCCCCCTCTACAACTGAATACTTGAGTTCTTTTCCATTCTCTCGGGTTAGGCTCTTTGAGGGGCTAACGGTCTCATCTCCCTTTCCTTTATAGACGAAGCTCCATGAGAAGAGGGCATTACCCAACCAGGAGAAGAAGCACTAGAACTCCTGATGCCCAGGAATTAGGGGTCTGAGGCACAAATTCTAGCCCTCTATCTCCCAGCACCTGCCCAAGCAAGTTACTTGTCTTCTCTGAGTCTATATATAAAGTAGGTATAATATTAATAACTACCTTTTTGGTTGTCTGCCAAGATCAAATGAATATAAATATCCATAATGCTAATTACTCTTATTATAATTATATACCTTTTCATCCACTCCAGATTTGGAACTGCATTTGAAATTTGCTGAGAGAGCTGGGCTTGCTGATGATGGGGCCCCAACGAAATCAGGCTCGCTTAAACTAAACTATAACCCACGGGACTTTCGATAAGTAAATTAGGCTTTTGTATTACTGGAAAGGACAACTGCAAAGTCAGGATGAAGGAGTGAGGATGCAGGATGAAGGCAAGGAGAGGACTGCATAGAAGCTGGAACTCGTGTGTGTGTGTGTGTGTGTGTTGGAGGGGACCTCATTGGCACCCCATAATCTTCATTGGCACCCCATAATCATCCCATGAAATTGACATTACTTTCCCTAATTAACTTTTTTCTTTTTAGAGACAGGGACTCACTCTATTATTCAGGCTGGAGTACAGTGACATGATCATAGATCACTGCAGCCTCCAGCTCCTGGGCTCAAGCGATCCTCCTGCCTCAGCCTCCCGAGCAGCTGGGACTACGGGCGTGTGCCACCATGCCCGGCTCCCTAAGTAACTCTTGAGGAAACTGAGGCTTAGAATATTTAACATCATGTTGCTTGTAAGTGACAGCACTAGAATCCAAAAGTTCTGTCTGGTTCCAGTGCCTGTATTTTTAGGAAAGAAGGAGGAAGGGAGGAAGGAAAGGAGGAAGAGGAGGAAAGAGGGAGGAATAAAGGAGAGAGGAGGTCGCAGGGGTAAGGTGATAGCCTCCAGAGGCTTGGGCTGGGTACCTGCTATAGCCCATCTGCCTACAGGCTATCTTGGCCAGAGCTTCCGTGAAGTTGTCGAAACAAGCAGAGGACCAGTTCCCTGTGGCCCGGTCCAGCACCTGCAGGGTGGATCGGTCCTTGGAGAGGCGAACTGGGAGGACAAGAATCTGCGTCAGCTGGAGGGTGGGGCCCATTTGGCCCATCCCCCTCAGAACTCATCATGACCCCAGCCCCAGCTTCCCCAACCCAGAACTGGGGGCACTGCAGAACACCAACATTTTCAACATCAAGGGAAGTTCCTTCCTTTGGCTTTGTCTGTTTGAGTCTTGTTTTGATGGTATCTAGGGTGGCCAAATGTCCTGGGGTCAATCTCCATTTTGACCTGTTGCCCTGGCACAATGAATAATAGCGCCCCCTTTTGTCTTACAGGTATCAGTCTTGATGATAAAGGACATGGTCACCTGACCACGGTCCACACGACTTGCCCCACTTGGGGAAACTTCTCAGAGAGGAAACCTAGGTCCTTCCCCATGTAAAGTCAGAGGGGAGGGGGCATGGGAAGTGCCATTGGCAGTAGATGGCAGGTGCCCACTGGCATCTGACTTCTGATAATGAAAGAGCAAAATACACAGGAAGTCATTCAGCCCTGCCCCTCAAAAGCCCTGTCACCCATCTCCTTGGCTATCTTTTTCTCTTCAGAGCCCAAGTACCAGGTGGATCAGGCTGGGCTAGCCCAGTCCAGGAAAGAACATGGCGTTTATGCTCAAAACACCTCGTATTCTTTGCAGGACCTGGCTCGGTCCTGCTACATAGCACGTTACAATAAACACTAATGAACAGCTGGTTAAATGGCCGTTTGGTCTCTTTTTTGGACTCCTTGAAATAGCAGATCTCATCCAAGATCATCCAATCTAGCCCTCTGCCTCAAATCCACCCAGGCACAGCAGGGATGGGGCAGCTCAGTTACACCTTCCTGTCCCCTCTGGCCACTTTTGATCATCAGATAGTTACTGCTTGCTATGTACTAAGGACTGGGATCTAAAGGTGACCAGGCATGGTCCTTCCTGCCCACAAGAACCTTATACAACAGAGTTGGAAACTGACTAGTAAGTTGACACGTGCCCTACAGCGCACCACGGGGGCCCGCGTGGACTTCCTGCTGTGCCCATTTCTCTTGTCCCTCAGCCCCCAGACTCACCAGACACTTTAGGCCCGTCAGGGATGTTCTTGACACAGTGCTTCTCGTCCTCCCCCGAGGCACAGTCTAGCTCCCCGTTACATATCTGTTCTCTTGGGATGAATTGGAGGGGCTGCCCACAGTAGAAGTAATATTTGTCCAGAATCTGCTTGACTAGAAGGCAAGTGCAGAGTGGGGGCAGAGAGGGCTAAGAGTCAGGCAGGCAGCCCAGGGCAGGGAGAGGCGGTGCTTTCCTGAAGATAATGCTGGGCTTGGAGACAGGCAGGTGTGGGGTCCAGGCCCTGTTCTGCCACTTGGCAGTAGGTAGACTCGGTCCTGAGCCTCAGCATCCCTATCTGTAAAGTGTAGGTAATAACGCCGGTCCCATGCCTATGAGACGGCCGAGGAGTCAAGAGATAACGTGTGTGGGAGAAATTTAGAAACAGGCCCTACCGGCCTCTCACCCCCAAGTGGTGGTCAGTGCCCTCTTGGAACAGAGGAGGAGACAGAACAGGGGACCTGGAGTCCAAAGACCCAGTTCTGAGTCCTGGCTCTGCCACCTACTGTGCAATCACTTCCCCTTCCCAGTCCTCAGTTTGCTCATCTGTACAATGGGATGATAATACCTACCTCACAGGGCTGTTGACAACATGTAGTGAGCTGGTAGTAGTGACAGCGTCTCATAATTATCAAGCACAGTTATAGAGTGGGGCGCTTTTATCTGGATGAAAGCCGCATTAGGAGTTGGTGCTTTGTTTTGTTTTTCTGCCTACTATCTTTAGATTCTGCCAGCTGCCTTCAAATTCTGTTGCTTCTTTGCCATCTCGGGCTGTAGGAACGCAGTGTTTTTAACCCCTCCAAGAACAGATACTTCAGAACTTCTCCTTGGTGAAGACTCACAGCCAAGCACCGCTGGCAGGAAGGAACTCCTCCCTCCTAACTGAACGCCTCTTGGCCTGACGTTCCCCTCTCTAATCCCACATCAGCCCTGGCTGGTCCTAAGAGTGGTGGCAATAAATGTAATGATGGTCTTCACTTGTCACTGTGTTGGGAGCTTTCCATACATTTCTTCATGCAATCCTACAACAGCCTTAGGAGACAGATGTCATTGTTAACTCACTTTACAAATGGGGAAACCGAGAGTTAGAGTCAGGGTTCATTTCTCAAGGCCACATGATGCTTATATGGTACAGCCAGGGTCCGTCTAACTCCCAGAAGGAGCTCAAGATATGACCTGCTGACCCCCATGCTCCTGGTTTGAGCGAAGCAAGGAAGAAGGAGCAGATCAGACATTACCTGCATATTTTTACCTGGAGTTTTGTTTGTGATCAGGAGCCAGGGTAAGGCAGAGTCACCCCATCCACTTGGGATAAAGCTGGGAGACAGTGTCACCAGTTGAGACCCCAAAGACAAAGGTTGAGGGGCCTATCCCAGGAGGAAGGATTGGGTTACCACCTCTGATTACAGATTCTGGGGGGCTCAGGGCATGGGAGCCATGCAGGGCTGTCGGGGACAGGGAGCACCCAGCTCTAAATTATGGCTGTCCCTGGATGAACTTGGCCCCGTCTCTCTCCACTGTGGCAGGACATACGCTCGAGAAAGCAAGCTCACTTTAATATTAGTCTGAATGAAACAGGATGGCAAGTCTGCTGCTGCTGCTGCAAAACCACTGTCGTGCTGGGCAAGCCAAGGTCAAGAAGAAACGATTTGGGGTTACCTGCAGCTCACACTGTCCAGGGGTCTCAGGGATTTGAGTGGCGTTTATGTGATGGATCTGCATTTCCACTGCCATGAGATGGGGAAACGGACCTGCGCAATCGGGGGACAGGAGTCCTGTCCCAGCTCTGTCCCTGTCTACCATGCCTCCTCCCTGAGCCTCAGTGCTTGTGTAGAATGAGGGGTTGGATTAGAGGCTCTCTGAGTGTCCTCCAACGAAGCAGTGGCTACTGCCAGTGGAAATGCCACCGCAGTTGCAAGAGCAAGCTCCTGACAGCCCTGGCCCAGTTAGCAAATGCGTGTGCTGGGTCACATCTCTGCATGCTGCCTGATGACACACTCTTACAAAACCTGGTTTTTGTCCAGGTCCTTTACATACATTATCTCCTTGGCGAAAGTGCTCTGAGGGAGGCAGGACATTTTACAGGTGAGGAGACTGAGGTTAAGAGAGGTTGAAAGACTTACTCAAGGTCACCCAGAAGCAAGTGGCAGAGCCAGGATCCCCGTCCCAGGTGTCCTGATTCCTACTCTGGTGCCGCGTGCCCTACTCCCTGCTGTGAAAGCTGTGGTCAGCAGCCCACTGTGACTGTGGGGTTAATAAAGGCAATGGCTCAGCCACAGGACGTAGGAGCCAAGGGGACCCACAGCACTGCTCATTCAGTTCAATCTTTTTCACTGCAGATGAGGGCCTGAGGCGGAGTGACCTGCCCACAATCACACCCGGGCACCGGCCACGATGAAGACTGGCTGAAGGTGGGGAGGTGTGTGTCTGCTTGGGAGGCCTGATACCTCCTCTCTCTCCCTGCCCATAGCAGAAATGCTCCCTGTTCCCCCAGTCAGTGGGGCTGCTCAGAACCTCTCAGCTGTCAATCGGCAGAAGACGGGAAAGAGGCAGGGGCGTGGCCGCCCCTGCAAACTGCCCGCGTGGGTTTGTCACATATGCCACTGTGCGCATCTGGGATGGAAGCCATCTGGGACAGGTGGGGGCTGAGTTCATCTCCCTCTTTTGCTCTTAGAAGAAAGCTCCCTTCAAAGCAGGGGGTGGATACATGTGGATATATGTTTTTTTTTTTTTCCTATGAAGCTTTATGCCCATGACTGTGGGGTGGGAGGGCGGGGGTGGGGACTGCCACTTGCTGAAGGGGTAAAAGTCAGGAGGCGGCTGCCACTTGCTGAGGGGACAAGGGCGGGTGGCACTGCATTTACTTAGGGGATGAAAGTTGGACAGGGGCTGTCACTTACTGAGGACAGCCACAACGACGATGGCCATGAGGCCCACCAGTGCTGTGATGATGGGGATCCCCACCTTCTTGAAGGTCTCCATACGGGTACGGGGTTTGTCCAGGCGGGTGACATCTGCAAGGAGATGTGAGGCAGGGGGAAGAGCACGCAGTTGGCACTTGGAGACTCCCCTGCCATGGCCCACAGCCTCCCACCCGCTGGCCTGTGGCAGGAATGCCCTGGGGACAGATTTGGTTAATGCTGGGGGGGTTGTTCCTGCAGCCTAGGCTCAGCTCCATGAGCACATGTTCTCCCCACCTTCTCTCACTTACCCCGGCTCACCCATCTCTCACAAGCACCCCTCGAAGCAGCTGCCAGCCCAGGCCACCTCCCCTTTGTCCTGCCTGAGCCTGTTCTAGGGTGTTTCCCCCGTCTTGCCCTGGGAGAGGTCTGAGCCCCTCAGGTGCACACTTCGGCATGCACCCATTCATTGTTCTGTCATTTCTCCTTCTCCTGACCTCCTGACTTCTCTTTCGATTAAACGATAAGCTCCAGGAGGCCAGGGTCCTCCAGTGCTTTGTAGAAGCTTAAATACTTGTGAACGAATGAATGCATCCCA